TTCTCCGCTTTTTCCCCGTATTTTTTTCGGTCACCCACGGTTATTTTGGCACCGTATCTGTAAAGATTGGTGTAACACACACACACACACACACACATATATATATATATATATATATATATATATATATATATACATTACGAGAATTACCAGTGGGTTAAAATGTCTGTTTTGTCGCTTAAACAAGCACAACCCCTCTCAGAACTGCGGATCGCAGTTGTACGTAAATTGAATCTCACGGAGCAGACTAGAAAGGACGGTTGTTTCAGTCCTGTTAGGAACCAGTTAGCACAACTACCACCACCAGTACAAATTCGGCAAAATGATTTAGGATTCAAATGTGTGCACCATACGTCACAAATCCGACGGGCTAATGCCTGCTTTATGCGGATTAGGCATTGTTGGTTAGCTTCAAGCGAACACTATATGTTCCCGTTGTCCGATTCCAGCAGACCGCAAAGCAAAACTTCTCAACAAGAACGAACTATATCGAAGGATGACCTCTTTCACTGAACACCTTTGAGAGAAAACTAAATTACGGAACTAGATGTGGGATGATAAAAGTGAACTCACCAATGTGATCTCGAGCAGGCTGTAAAGAAAGAAAAAAGAAATGTGTAAATCGATAAAACAGCTGAGTGAACACGCTTCAGGTAGCAACTTCGTGGCTCGTACAAGTAAATGTAATATGGGCGGAACAATTTAGGGGGTAACACATGAAGTTAAGAGAATGATGCCATGCTATCGTGGAGACGCACGCCACTGGGTGGCTACCGATGCCATCGTGTATACAAATCGGACAACTTTGGGGGATTCAAACAAAGCGCGCGCGCGCGGGCACGCGTCTCAGTCAAACATTTCTAATCGGATTGCATTTGGACAACTGATTATATCATGCCTGCTATCAGTATTGCTGATCCGTCGAATCCGCCAAATGTGCACAAAAATGTGTAAAAATACAGGAATTCATTTCGTGCCCCCCCCGTCGCCTATTGTGCAGTGACCAGGTCGTACAATCATTCAGTAAAACAGGACAATTCGATGACTTCATTATAGGTGTATCTCAGAAGGGCAGTCAAGGTCAAAGTTTTATTACGGGGAATTATCCACAAGTTCATGCTTCTCTACTGCTCCCATAAAATATTTGCACAGTTGAATTGTTTCTTGACGAAAAAAACAATTGTCACATACAGTTCCAGGTACGAGATAACAAATAATGTAGTTCTCAACGAACTTGCGTTTATTTTTAGTTGTGCAGAAATGCGAGGCATGCCAGGGTTTCATCAAGTCTCCACTTGAAAGATTCAGCAGTTAGCACACAAACGACGTGAGGTGAAAAGGTGTTCCAATTATAGCACATTCAAACTGTAGAAGATTGACGCCGGCATTCCATCCGACACTTTGGAATCAATCACTAGAACCGGTGTCCCCTAAGGAGTATATTGTTCGACCATGTGAGCAGCAGCCGATATGGATGGTTTGGGTTCTGCAATATGAAGTCTCCGAGACTTCAGCGGCACTGAGCAGAGTATAGTCTCAATGATCGTAATCTCTCCTCGTGAGTTAGTGCAATCCCTTGACTATCTTCG